AGGTTTTCCATCCAAGACGTAGGCGAGGCTTGCGGGAGGAGGGCGGCTTGGACAGAGGGCAACGGTTCCGGCGCCGGCGAAAGCTGCACTGCTTGCTGAGATAGGCCATGGGCTACCCGAAGGGCACGGCGGAGCCTGGCTGCCTGAACGCCATGCAAGGCATCGGCTGCGCCCATTTCTCCCATGTCCTCGTCGGAGAGACCCGACAATAGGCTGTCGAGGCTGGCTAATTCCGGATATGCGTAAGCCAGGTCATCCACCGTCTCCAAGCCTTTGAGGGCCAAGGCTTGTGCCAGAACATCATGGACAGCATTGTCCTTGAGGAATTTGGCCAGATCCGAGGCTGACGCGTTGGACATGGCTTGTTTGGAAGTCGAAGCTAGCTTGACGAGACGGCTGCGGCGGCAAGCAATTCCCTTGCGTTAGCTAGGGGCGGCCTGCGTCTTCACGAGCGGCTCTTGCGGATCGGTCTTTTGTCACTCCCACGAGTCCAGAAGCTTCGCGCATGCTTTTCTGCGGCAGAAAAAAGTGGGATCCGGATCTGTGGGGCTAAAGGCTGCCACCGAACGCATTGCTCCGCAAGCGGCTTTGTTCGAGGCTTCCAGACAGGCATGTATACACCCCCAAGGTCCGTTCCGGAAGAGGCTGAAGGCTGTAGGCACTGACGGCTCAGTATCCTTGGGCCGATCTGAGTCAGAGGAGGAATCATGTTCCGCCGCGAAGCGTGCGACGAGCAAGGCTTCGTGGTCATCGTCGGGTATGGCCGGCGAGGACGGGGCAGCTCCACCCTGTTCCTCAATCGTAGGCTGAAGGTCTTCTTCTGCTTGCAATAGGGAGGCCTTCTCCATTTCTGCCTCTCTAGAGTAAATGAAGCGGGAGAGGCCTTCTCCGAACGACTCCAAGGGGAACTTGCCGGGCGGAGTAGATCTGAGGACCTCGAAAGGCGGTTCCAAGGTTGGCGGCTGTCCTCCTCTGGCTATAGGACGAGTGGGTCGCCAACCATCTGCACACGCTTGAGCGATTTGGGCTTGTAGGTCGAGCGCCAAGAGCGTGTCGTCTCGGCTGTACAGTTGGACGCTGGGGCTCTTGTGGTGGCCTTGATTGTCTGGCTGCCCGGACCTGTGCCCCTGCAGACAATAGGCATACCTTGAGGCTATGCAGGGTGAAGGCTATGCCAGGGAACTCCCATGGCAAATCTCATGGCACTGAGGGCCTGGCTGTATGACATAGGCCTGTGATAGGCGGAGTCCGCCGCGCTAGAACCCCCGAGGTTGGTGAGTGTGGGCAATATAAAGTCTGGGTTCAGGGGCTGCAAGTAGGCCTTTTCTGTCCGAATCCAGGCGGCTTGGACTGCACGAAGGAAGGGAAGCACCCATAGGCTCTGAATCGACCTCCCGGAAAGGCCCGAGAGGGTAACAGCAAAAGGTTGGCCTTGGCGTGTCGTTTTGGTCTGCCAGCATATCCCTCTAAGGCTGGAGGATGTAAGTGACAGGCTGGATAGGCGAATTCTCTGCAGATCCCCGAACCTAAGGCCTCCGTGCAAGGCGAGCAAGAAGCCTCCCAATAGAATGCACAAATCAGCTGGGCAGTCGGCTTCGCATAGGCGTCTCTCCCAGGCCACGACGACGGCCAAAGGGAGCGGCAATGCCTCGCGTCTATCCGCGACCTTCTGAGATCGGAAGGCTGCGATGAGGCTGTCCTGCAAGATTGTGGCTAGAGGCGGGTCGAGGCGACAAATTTCCCTGTCCTCCTCGAGGCCTTGTTCGCATGCATGAAGGAAATCGGCTAACTGGGCTGTGGTCAGGGCCACCAGCTCGATGCAGTGAAAGGCCAGGTAGTCGATGAACTGACGGACTGAGGAGAGATAACGTTCGACTGTCCCGGCTGTGAAAGGCGAGAGGCTTTCTAGTAGTTGGCGCCGTTGGACAGCGCACGCCGCCTTTCTTGCTGACTCCTGGTGTTCTCTGAGCAGGGGCCCTGGCTGTGCCGGGGCTGAGGGCCGAGGCATGTGACTAAGCCTAGGTCTCTTCTCCTGTCGGGCCTTGGCGGGCCTTGGTGGAAGGCAGGTCCTGGACCGAAAAGCTCACTGGGACCCGAGGCTGTCTGTGCGCTGGAGGAGCTGGAGGGCAGAACCTGAGGCTTCTGGGAGGCGGTCTAAGCATTGGGTGTGGTTTGGGCAAGGCTGGGCCTATGAGGCTACCTGACCATCTGGGTTCAGGGGCGAAGAACGTCCCAATCCGGCCCCTGATAATTAGGCCTGTCCAAAGCGGCTGGCGAAAAGTAGGCGGCCCAGTTGGGCCAAGACTGTTGCAAGGCTGTGAGCAGGTTCTCGAGGCGGTTGAAGGTAAGATTAAGTCGGCTTCTGATCAAATCCATCTTCGCGGACATGAAGGCCCATGGGGAGATGAGGCTGCGTAGGCGTTGGCTGTCTCTGGCGCCTCTGTGATAGTGCCACAAGGCCTGTTGTGCGCCGGAGCGCTCGGCCTCCAAAATGCGAACACGTAAATCAAGGCTCTGCAGTCGGCGATTGAGTTCTGCGACATCGGCCTGGTTTGCTTGTGCTTGCGGCGAAGAGGCTGAGGCCGAAGGGTGGCGGGGCAGGTCAGAGGCAAAGTCATCATGTGTGTCGCCCCAGGAGGCTGAAGGCAATAGGTCTGTCATGTGGCTATGGTCGGCCTGAAAGGCTAGCGGCCCAGATAGGCCGGCGTTCAGACGTTGCATCTGGCTCAGCTGTGACGAGGCGCTGCCCGTGGGCATGCCCCCGTTGAATTGATAAGCTGGGCTGCTATGGCTATTCCAATTGGCATCCCAGGCTCTCCGCTCGGCTGCTGTGCGAGGCATGTTAGGCTAAGAGGCTGCAGCGGGATCGATAGTTTGACTTTCGAGCAGAAACGCTGTGAATCAGGCGATGGACCTGAAGATGTGTGCTTTATGCTGGAGGCGAGGCTGAGCTTGGGGCTGAGCAACGAAGAGGCAGAAACTCAGACCTGAAAGGGCAAGTGCATTGCTGTGGCCCGGGCTTGGTCGGCTATGTTGTTGTGACATGTTCGGCTGCCAAGGAGCAAAGCTCTCCAATCTCGGGAGTCTAGGCTAAGCAAGAGCACCGAGCAAGACTGGGTGCCAAACAAGATATCGGCAAGATTACGACCTGGGGATGCGAAACGGAAGGTTTGGGGTCTATATGCTACCTGGCGGTAGAGGCCGTCCCTGTACATAAATTGAGGCCTCAAGGCAAGAATGTCGAATTGAGGCTGTCGGCGAATTGACTTGGCTAAGGCTAGAGCCTGAGGCTGATCCCCCGCTGGTTGGTGTGTTCACTCACTGTTGTTTTACTTTCGTTGCAAAGTCAATGCTTCTCGCTCGGCCCAAACAACAGCCAAGCCGCTTAGCTTTCGCACATGCATCGCTTCAGCATTGCATAGCTTCAGCTTGCATTTTCTTTTCAGTTCAGTTCAGCTTGCCAGACGCTTTAGAGATTTTGGCCTCTAGCTGTCCTTCTTTCATGGACTCGCCTGCTGCCTCGGTCAATTCTATCAGTACTTCCAGCATCGAAGCATTATCTGCTCGTGTACACGATTTGCAAGGTTCTCATACAGTGCTTCAGCATAGAGTCAGTTACCTCGAGGGGCGAATCCGGGACCTGGAAGACGGGACTTCTGGAGTTGGCCTTACTTTATCCTCTGTGCAAACAGTACAGCAGAACCTTGCTTCGCGATTGTCTTGGTTGGAGAGATTTATTCAGCATATTCGTCAATTTCTTTCAGGCCCTCCCCCTTGAAGGAGGTCGGCTTTTCAAAGTGCTTTTGTTTTCGATCATGTCGTCCTTTGTGGACGAGCTCCAGGCGACGAGTTTCGCAGCACAGCTTTGCCGTGAAGTTGCCGAAGTCTCTGAGGTCTACGCAGGTGAACAGCAACCTCCTTTACACGACTCTCCAGTTGTTGTCAAGCGGTTTCGTTCGCAGCTTTCCCCGTCAGGTCTTCCGCTTCAAGCTGATGGTGCTGTTCCTGATGATTCTGCACTTCCTGCGCCGGAGCCCTCTTCCTCGCAAAGTGAATCGCCGAATTCTTTTCGTTCTTGGTCTATGATACAGCCACAGCTTTGCGACCCGGCGCGTGCCCTGGACTTCGAGTCCGTTCAGGAAGTTTCGCAGACTGCTTCTCCTTTACAGTTTGCTGCTTCGCTTCCCGCGGGTGCTCGGGCATCGGCTGATAAACCAGTCCTTCGTGATTTTGCACATGCTTTGCCACGCCCTTCTTTTGCTGCTTCGAAGGATGCAAGATCAGCTTCTATTGCTTCTTTATCTGGTTTGCCTCGGCCTGAGTACGCCGCTCCTTCCGTTTATGA